TTATCCACTGTGCCATGGGTCCTTAAGGACATCTGTGTATGAATTTCTGGGACTTATAAACTTAATGTTTTCAGCAGCCATTTTCTAGATATTTAAATTTTTGTACTTACTTGATTCTAGTGTCTCCATTTCTTAGTCCTTATCTTGAGTTGTTCTTTTGGCTGTAAAGCATGCCTTCTGTCTACTTAAAATTGATAATTAGTCCTTTCTTCTCGCTTTACTTTAGTACCATCTGTAGGTATTCCTCTAGTTTAATTTCTGTGTCTCCTATCAACACTGTCATATGCATGTTATATTCTTAAGATTGTGGCCACCTTTAATGAATCTTGGCAGGTCTACTAGTTCTCTCACAATCGCCACACTGTAAAGATTGAATCAGTCCGGTGAGAAGATATATCCTTATCTTGAAATTTATTTTAGTTTCTTTAGAAGTGGCCCAGCCTTATCATGTCGATCTTTGTATACAACGATGTTATGGCTGGTCAATAATCTCAGTATGTTCATATAATCTATTAATGGGTATGCGCCAGTTTTTATTGAGTGTGTCCAGTAATCCTTGGTAAGTAGATTAAGGTCCTATACGGTCATTATAAACACCTTCGTCTCTATCTTGATCCCTAAAATATTTAATCGCAGATGGGTTTGTGTTTATCTACAACGATTCATACCTTTTCCATGTAGTTATTCCTGAAGAGAAATACATTCTTCTGAAAAGGATTTGAAAATTCGCATAGTAAAAGCCTGAGCCACCTTGAATAAAATGGATGTAATCTGATATTACCAGACAAGTTCAAGTGGAGATTCATTCAAGCCACTGTACAGGCGGTATTAATATGTAGTTCTACTTCCTGGACATTAACTGGAACCATCGAGTCCAAGCTTGATGGAACCTACACCCAGATGATGAGTGCTATACTTAACATCTCTTGGAGATAATATCCAACGAGATCATAGCTTGATGGGCCCATCCCTGATATTTCTACAATCTTACGTGGACGCAGAATGCGCTTTGTAGGGCACTTCTGGCGGGCAAAACAAGAAGATGCTACTGCATTGGACACCTAACCATGGAGCAGGACGGGTTGGTCGATTTGCAATCACCTATATTGACCACCTATGCTATGACACAGAATGCTACTCTAATGATGGTCCGGCCTTGACGTAGGACCGTGGTGGTTGGCGATATAGTCTCATGAATGTCCGAGAGGTAGCTCGACCGAGTCATAAAATATAGTTATTTCTGAGTGCATATTGAACATGTAATGAGTTTTTTTATTTTCGCTTCATTTGTTTGGTAGCGCATTCTTTATATATCTCCCTGTCAGGGATGTTAAGTTCCTTTTGTAATTTCTTCTTATTATTAATGAAATAATTCTTTTTAAATTTCTCATGACATCTAGTTGTATCGTTTAGTTTAGGTCTTTAACTAGTTTTAAGATCCTTGTAGTTATTTTATAGACTAACTCAAATTGGATTAAGCCTTTACCGCCATAACTTCTGGCAATATAACGACAGCCAACATCCGTGTATGTTATGGTAAGTTGTTAATTTCCTTAATTTGGAGTTCATTTTTCTATTTCAGCTGTATTCCAGTTGATAATATCGAAATTCTAATTTAAAACTAGTATTGCTAGCCATAATTATATAATTATAGCCATAATTCGATTGTATAACTCTCCTGGAATTACACATTGCGCCTTTTGGATCTGACATTTCCTATTGATATAAATTAGAACGATTCTATCAAATCAAGGTCTACATATGTTGCTAGAAAATTTGATACACTGTGTCGTATAATATTTCTCGCCAGAGTCTAGCTTGTATTTTTATAAGTCTATCATTCGTCGTTGCACCGAATATTTGCTGTCACATCTGGCCAAGTGTTTCTGCCATATTTCTTGACAAAATCCAAAGAAGAATATGCAATGTTGTCCGTTCTGACCTGGCATCTCGGTTTCATTCATTTTCCCACTGCCGTATCGTAGCTTTCCCGTACTTTCTCCTGTAAATATTTTCATAACAATTGTTGATGAGCTTTCCAATTTGGTGCCACGATTTTATGAATTTAATTGTAGTACTAGACTGGCAATTAGGTTTCATACTTTTACAAATGAAATCGATAGATGTGACCGTATGTTTTATTCTAAATTTTTTCTAGAACTTCTAGCCTGTTGAACTCTCTTTCGGTTTTTTTTTCTGTCGGCTATAATCTTGAAAATTTAAATCGTTATCTTTTTTAATCATCATCTTTTACTGTACATTTTTTCAACAATATTTTCTTAGTTGTCTTCACTCTCAGACATCCCTTGCGTCTTAGTGGCTTTATCACCTTGTTTGGAATGAATTGAATGGAAGAAATTTCTCTTATCTTTCTGTCTAATTTCGAAATTTAGTTTTCTTAGTGTTTTTGCCTGATCTATCTTCCTGGCTAATAGTAATCTTAGCGTAGGTTCATTTAAATTTTAGGTAAAGCCCTCTCTAAAACATTGGGTGAGCATATTTTTATTACACTGCCTTGTGTAATTTCCAAATCATCTGATAACATGGTATTTATTCGGATGAACTATTCATTATGCTATTAGACTTTATGAATTTGAGCGCGGTACTAGATTGGCAGCTAGGTCTCATCAATTCACAGTTGAGTTGGCTAGATATTGTTGAGATATTACTTCCAGCATTCCATCTTTACCATTCATTACTTCTTTATTATTATTATTATTATTATTGAAATGTATCGCCGTTGCGATATAGTTAAATCCGGTGACTTTATATGGTCAGTCAGTCAGTTATGTGCCATGCGGGATACACGCTTAGGCGATCATGTATCGAAAGATACATGACAGACGAGGCAGATTTTTTCCCCGCAGTCAGTTGCCATTTCTTTCTGCGGTAGACCAGTTGCCATCCAAGGCTATAGAACCCGGTCTGTCCTGCTACTTGCCCATAGCTTGGGAGGGGGGGGGGGCAAGACAACGATTCATACATTTTCCAAAGGTATTAGCACGTAAGTGAATGTAATGGATTCGACTGCTATTTCTCAATTCGAGCCGCTAGCCATTACACCACCGTAAGTTCTATTCTCACTGAATACACACACTTTAGATTGGGTTGAATGATTTTAAGACATAATAACTATTATTTAATATCGAAAGGAGGATTGTAGGGGGGATGGTGGAGTCATGGATAGCGGCTCGGATTGAGGAATCGGAGAGACGAGTTCGAATTCCAGTCGGATCCAATACCCTTTGGAAACATGAATTCTCTTCTTCTTTCCCCCCGTTATAGGTAAATAGCAGGACGGACTGGGTTCTAAAGCACTGGGTGGTAACAGGTCTAGAAGAAAATAACTCTGAATTCAAAACTGTAGCGTAGCACATACTATACAGCTAAAAATTCGCAGTTGATGCTGCACTACTGTAATGCTGTACTTTTAGATCCATCAGCGTCAGGGAGAGGGAGGGGGACATGCTGAATGGGCAATATCTTGCCCTACATACCATCCTGCTCCATCATCCAGGTTCGATCCTAGCTAAGATCAAATCTATGGTTATTGGAATATCGAAATCAGTCTTTTTTTCCTTGTGACGTATTTTTTATAAAAATTTTCATGGTCATTTTTCTGACGAGTTTTCCTTTTTATTTGCGTCTCTAAGCATTTACTTGACTCGAGGATAGGTAAAAACAGGTGGTTTGTATTTGAGTCTATAAGCATTTACTTGATTCGGGTATAGGCATTGGTCGTTTATATTCGAGTCTATAAGCATCTATTTGATTTTGTATAGGTTAATATTGCTATGTTGCTTAAATCTATAAGAATTTACTTGATTCAGAAATACGTAAATATTGGTCATTTTATTCGAGTTCCTAAGCCTTTACTTTATTCGGGGATAGATAAACATCGCTCATGTTTATTTGGTTCAGCAAACATTTACTTGATTCAGTGATTGCTAAATACTGGTCGTTTTTATTTGAGGCCATAAGCATTTGCTTGGTATGTGGCTCGTTTTGATGGATTTTTACGTCTCTGCAGAGGTTGCATTCGGCTCATTCTAGCCCCTGCGGTCGAAACCCCAGGCCTTGTGCAGTACTTGGCTATGGTTATTGATTACAATAAGCAGTATTATGATTGCTACTATTATCCCTGAATGTCAACATTTATTACCGCGAATTACTTTATTTATTACCAATTTATTTTCTTACCAATCATGACTTGTAGCATTTGTATCACTTCTGGTCCTTCTACAATTTATACTACTATATTTGATTATCTGAATCTTCGTCACTGGAGTGGGTTTGTCATTTGATATCTGTTATCTTAACGATAACGTTCCTTTCTCATCCGGGTTTCGTTTGCATTCAATGCCGATCCGTTCTGTTGATTAATTCTGCTCTTCGCCTGCTCTCTTTAATCAATACTTGTCTTATGATTGGCTGTACAATCCGATGATTCTCAGTTGATAACGAGTAAGGAGTTGAAGTAGGGAGGAGACGGATAGAGGAAGGATGAATGATAAAGATTGAGTGGGTGGAGAAAGAAGAGTAAGGGAAGAACAGACGAGATAGAAAGGGAAAGAGAGGGGAAAAGGGAAGTATAGAAGAGAAAATAAAGACGAAGAAGAAAAAAAGGAGAAGGATGAATTGATGTAAGAAGACGATGGACAATGGAGAAGAAGACATTAAGTAAGAGGAAGAAAGTTAAATATGAAGACGAGAACATAGAAGTCCAAAGAAGAAGAAGAAGAAGAAGAAATTATTAACAGCAGCAATTAAGCGTGTGGAAACTGAAATGATCGATGAAGCAGGCGCGACATACGAAGTAAAAAGGAAAATAGGGGCGCCTGTTAAAGAGCAATGTTTAGTGAGTCAGGGAGTTCCTTCCATGCTGGTTGCTACGTCAGTCGAAACTGAACCAGACTATGCTAAGATGAATTAATATCTCCGGGCAGTAAAAAACAAAACAAAACAAAATTTTAAAAAAGACAATAAATTAAAAAAAAAACCGGATAAATATACAAATAATTAAGAGAGAGGGAGAGGAGATAAAATATATAAAAGAGGGAGTAAAAATAAAAATATAAAAGTGAGTGGGTAAAGAGAAAATGTAAAAAGAGAGGGTAAGAGAAAAATGTAAAAAATGAGAGGGCAAAGAGAAAAATGTAAAAAAAAGGGTAAATAGAACAATCTAAAAAAAAAGAGTAACAAGTAAAAAAAGAGACGGTGAAGTGAAAGTTGTAAAACAACAAAAGGCAAAGAGAAAAATGTATAAACACGAAGGGAAAATGTTTAAAATGATAGAGTAAAAATAAAAATGAAAAAAGAGGGCAAAGAGAAAAATATAAAAAAGGGGGGTAAAGAGAAAAATGTCTTGGATTTTTCTTGTTTAAAAAAAAAAAAAAGAGAAAAAAGTAAAAAAAAGAAAAAGAGAAAAATGTAAAAAAGAAGGTGAAAAGAAAAATGTAAAAAAGAAGATGAAGAGAAAAATATGTGAAAAAAGAAGGTGAAGAGAAAAATGTAAAAAAAGAAGGTAAAGAAAAAAATGTAAAAAAATCCCTGAAAAAAAAACAAAAAAAAAAAAAAAGAAAATGCCAAAAATAAAAAATCATAAAAATTAAAATATAAAAAAAAAAAAAAATATTGACAGTGAAAAATGTAAAAAAAAAAGAGTAAAGAAAAAAATGTGAAAAAAGAAAAAAAAAATATAAAATATAAATTGAATATTTTAAATGTAAAAAGAAGTATAAATATTAAAAATGTTTTTATTCCTTTTTTTTCTGAATATCTTATATTTAAATATGAAAAAAAAAGGTAAATAAAAATGTGAAAAAAAATGAAAAAATTCGAAAAATTTTAAAAAAAAAAATTTAATTAAACATGGTTTCGAAAAATTTAAAAAAAAAACTAAAAAAAAATGTAAAAAAAATTTAAATTCCGAGAAAAAAAAAAAAACAAAAAAGTTAAAAAGATATTCATTTGAAAAAAAAAAAAAATGTAAAAAAGAAATAAAAAAATGTTTTATGCAAAAAACGTTAAAAATTAAAAAGAAGGTGAAGATTGTAAATGTAAAAAAATATTCTTTCCTAAATATAAAATAAAATAAATAAACAGGTATAAATTGGTTTATGTAAAAAAAAACCAAAGTTCCTTTAAATTTAAAAAAAAAAAATATATAGAAAAATTCTGTCATCCAAATATATATTGGTAAAAAAAAAAATGTTCATTTTTAAAGAAGGTGAAATTAAAAATGTTTTTAAAAAATTAGAAAACAAAAAAATTCCTAAAAATATACAGAAAAAGTGAAAATGTTTTGAAAAAGGTTTTTGAAAAAAAATTTTTAAGATAAAATTCTTTTGCAAAAAAAAATATTTTTTCAAAAAAATTTAGAAAAAAATATGAAATTTATTGGATTGAAAATGTTTCAAAAAAATAAAAAATTTAAAAAATCTGTTAAAAAACAAAATGAATTGAAAAATGTGAAAAAGAGGATATGTAAGAACATGAAAAAGAATGTTAAGAGAAAAAAAGAAGAAAATTATAAAAAAAAAAATGTGAAAAAAAATTAATAAATTTTGCCTGTGAAAAAAGAAGGGAAGAAAAAAATGTGAAAAAAAAAGAAGAAGAAAAAAAAAAAAAAAAGGTGAAAAAAAAATAAAAAAAACGAAAAAAAAAATGTTCCACCTGTAAAAAAAAAGTGAAAAAAAAATCTAAAAAAAGAATATGAATAGAAAATATTAAAAATAAGATAAAAGCTGGAAAAATGTAAAAAAAGAAAAATAAAAAATTTGAAAAAAAAAAATAAAAAAAAATATAAAAAAAAAGGGAATCTGTAAAAATAGAAGATACAGAGAAAAATATAAAAAAAAAACATCTAGATAAAAAAAAAAAATGTAATTTTTTAATCGTAATGAGAAAAAAGTAAAAAAAGAAGATAAATAGAAAATATAAAATGGGGGAAAGAAAATGTTAAAAAAATTAGATATTCAAGGGGGTAAAAAGAAAAAATAAAAAAAAAAAGGCGAAAAATATATAAAAAAAAGGAAAAAACAAAAGAAAGAAGGTAAAGAGAAAAATGTAAAAAAAAAAAAAATGAAGAAAAATGTAAAAAAAAGGTTCAAAAGAAAAAAATAAAAAAAAGAAGGATAATCTATAAAATGTAAAAAAGAAGAAAAAGAGAAAAATGTAAAAAAGGGGGTAATAAGAAAAATGTAAAAAAAGTTGGAGGAAGAGAAATATAAAAAAACACGGTAAAGAGAAAAATGTGAAAAAGGGGATAAAGAGGAAAAAATCTAAAAAAAATAGAGGTAAATATATAAAAATGTATAAATGTGTTTTAAAAAAAAAAATGTAAAATAAAAAAAATAGGAAAAATAAAAATGAAAAAGCAAAAAATATAAAAAAAGAAAGGATAAAGTGAAAAAAGTAAAAGATGAAGGTAAAGAGAAAAATGTAAAAAAAAAGAAAAAAAAGAATTATAGTGGGAAAACTTCTTTTGAAAAATTCAAATCTTTAAAATTTATTTAAAAGGATCATTTTAAAAAGAAAATTTATGTAAAAGGAAAAATTTATAAAAAAAATATATGATAAAGAGAAAACATTAAAAAAAGAGGCGATACAAAGAAAACAATCAGCGTGAGTTAGTGTAAAGAGAAAAATATGAAAAAAAAAAATGGTAAATATATAATTATGAAAATTTATTAATAATTTCTTGAATTAAAGAAAATGAAGACAAAATAAAACAAATACAGAGATAAGAAAGGCGTGCAGGTAAAGAAAAAGAAATGTGAGGGATATTCTTTATCACATGTTCTTCACTTCACTGCCCATCCCTCTCTTGAAGGTGGTGGAAACAAAAAAGAGAAATAGAATAAAAAGGTTATTGGAGGGCAAAGCAAAAAATATTATAATTTTTAAAGTGAAAAAAGAAAAAATTAACGAAAAAAAATATATTAAAACTAGAATAAGAGAAAAATAGGCAAAAAAGAAAAAATATTTTGTGAGTACATTTAAAACTAGAATAAAAAAATTATAGAAGAAAAGGAAAAAGACGAAAAAGTCGGTAAGAAAAAAAAGAACAAAAAAAACCCAGTAAAACGAGAATAGAAAAACGCGATCGAAAAAAAAAAAAACGAAAAAAACATAAAAATATAATAAAAAAACTTAAAGAAAAAAAAAAGAATTTAAAAGCGGAAGTAAAACTAGAATAGAGAAAAAGAGGCAAGAAAGAAAAGAACGAAAAGGCGAGAGCATATCGAGAATAAAGAAATAGAGGAACGAAAGAAAAGAGCGAAAAGATAAATGTTTGTAAAGAAATAGAGAAAGGAAAGACAAAATAAGCAGGCATAAAGTATTCCGTCGTCAAGTAAAAAAAAATTCTTTGAATATAAAAGGAAATTGAAAAGATCTTAAAACGATCAGGTGAAGGAAAAATTTTAAAAAAAATCAATTTAAATAAGGATTGTCTTGCACTCAAGAGTCGTTTATAGACGATCTAACCCTCGACATCCAATTGTTATCCAGGACGCGCTGATAAAACCCGCAAGAGGAAACACAACACTGATAAGGCACTTAATGCTTCTAACTTTGAGAGAAAGCCTTATTTACGAGATTTTCCTAATTCTCATCTCACCTCGACCAGACACTGACATTTCCGGAAAAAAAAACATCAGTCAACATGGGTTATGGCGATAAACAGTAGCAGCAATCATTTTTACTAAAGCTTCTCAATTGAGCACAAACAGCTTGATACTCTTCGAGGGTGCATGAGCGAAAAATCCCAAAATGGTAGCAACACTATGTTGGAGGTATTTATCCTTATCTCGTAGAAGCGTTTTTTTTTTAATGTAGACATCTTTAAAAGAACACTTTAATATTGTGAAATTGGTGATGAAATTTATTCAAAAATATTGGACGAAAAAACCTCCCAATATTAAATGCGTTATTCTTGTTAAATTGACATTATCATCAATTAAATCAATTATATATATATATATATATATATATATATATATATATATATATAAAATTTTTATTTCAAAATATGATTCCAATTTCATTATTATCTTCTATTGTTTTCAAAAGCCGAAAATTATTTTATCTTGTTTTATCAATATTTTTAATTATATTTTTAATATCTATCTATCTATATATTTTTTAAAAATAATAACTAAAATACTAAGGGACTTTGGATTATTTACCTAACCAGTTCCTTCCTATTTTCTATATATTTTTCATATGTTTTTTACACACACACACACACACACACACACACACACACACACACATATATATATATATATATATATATAAAATATATATATTAATATATTAACGTTTTTGATAATAAAATATCTTGGATTGAAAAATAAGATCTATTAATTCTTTTAAAAATTATATATATATATATATATATATATATATATATATATATATATATATATATATACAGTGTATCACAAAAGTGAGTACACCCCACCACATTTCTTCAAATATTTAAGTATATCTCTTCATGGGACAACACTGACAAAATGACACTTTGACACAATGAAAAGTAGCCTGTCTGCAGCATATATAACAGAGTTAATTTTTTTTCCCTCAAAATAACTCAAAATATAGCCATTAAAAGCTAAATCCCTGGCAACAAAAAATTGAGTACACCCCTTAGGAAAAGTTGTCAATATTAACATACAACATGTCAACTGTCAATATTTTATGTGGCCACCATCATTATCCAAAACTGCCTTTACTCTCCTGGGCATGGAGTTTACCAGAGCTTCACAGGTAGTCACTGGAATGCTCTTCCACACCTCAATGACGACGTCGTGGAGCTGGTGGATATTTGAGACTCTGCGCACCTCCACCTTCTGCTTGAGGATGGCCCAAAGATGTTCTATTGGGTTCAAGTCTGGAGACATGCTTTGGCCAGTCCATCACCTTTACCCTCAGCCTCTTCAGTAAAGCAGTGGTTGTCTTGGATGTGTGTTTGGGGTCATTGTCATGCTGGAACACTGCTCTGCGACCCAGTTTCTGGAGGAGGGGATCATGCTTTGCTGCAGTATTTCACAGTACATGTTGGAGTTCATGTTTCCCTCAATGAAATGTAACTCTCCAATACCTGCAGCACTCATGCAGCCCCAGACCATGACATTCCCACCACCATGCTTGACTGTAGGCATGACACACTTATCTTTGTACTCCTCACCTGGTCGCCGCCACACATGCTTAAGGCCATCAGAACCAAACGAATTAAATTTCGTCTCATCAGACCATAGGACATGGTTCCAGTAATCTATGGGCTTTGTTGACATGTCTTCAGCAAACTGTTTTGTGGGCTTTCTTGTGTATTGCCTTCAGAAGAGGCTTCCTCCTGGGGTGACAGCCATGCACACCAATTTGATGTAGTGTGCGGCGTATGGTCTGAACACTAACAGGCTGAATCCCAATCTCTTTAATCTCTGCAGCAATGCTAACAGCACTCCTACGCCGATCTTTCAAAAAGAAAGCATTTGGATGTGACGCTCAGCACGTGCGCTCAGCTTCTTTGGACGACCTACCCGAGGCCTGTTCTGAGGGGACCCTGCTCTTTTAAAATGCTGGATGATCTTAGCCACTGTGCTGCAGCTCAGTTTCAGGGTGTTGGCAATCTTCTTGTAGCCTTGGCCATCTTTATGTAGTGCAACAATACGTTTTTAAGATCCTCAGAGAGTTCTTTGCCATGTGGTGCCATGTTGGAACTTTCAGTGACCGGTAAGAGAGAGTGTTAGAGCTGCACTACAAATTTGAATACACCTGCTCCCCATGAACACATGGGCATAGTTACACTAATGAGTCACATGACATTTTGGAGGGAAAAAAAGCAGTACTCAATTTAGACATTTAGGGATGTAGTTTCTTAGGGGTGTACTCACTTTTTAGGGGTGTGGTTTCTTGGGGGTGTACTCACTTTTTGTTGCCAGGGATTTAGATTTTAATGGCTATATTTTGAGTTATTTTGAGGGAAAATAAATTAACTCTGTTATATATGCTGCAGACAGACTACTTTTCATTGTGTCAAAGTATCATTTTTTCAGTGTTGTCCCATGAAGATATATACTTAAATATTTGAAAGAAATGTGAGGTGTACTCACTTTTTGTTTACACTGTATATATATATATATATATATATATATATATATATATATATATATATATCGACTGAAATGGGGACGCAGTTTCGAATTCTGCTGAAGGAACATTATCTTTATTAACTATTCTCTCAATTTTTTAAGGATTTATTTCGTCTACCCGCCTGTGCATTTTGAGAATAGTTAAAGATAATGTTCCTTTCAGCAAATTCGAAAATGCGTCCCCCATTTCAGCCAAAAACCACCGTATGGTCCGACGTACTTTGACCGGTCGGGTTGTCTGTGAAGCTCTACAGAGCGTACATTTTCTTAATTCATTTTTTCGAAGTGCGAAATAAACACTTTTTAAAAAATCGCAGCGTCTACTCAAATACGGGCACCCACTAAAAATAACGTTTGGAGTTAATGTAAATTATCAACCCGGTTCTAATACTAATAAACCTTGGCTTAGGTTGCATGTTGCTTACGCGTGATCTTTGAATTACTTGATTATAGTCGACAGTTTTTCGAAATAGCTTGAAGAATTATTTCCGCTGTAAATTTTCATGAACTGTTTTCAAGATTTGGACTTCCAGATACTATAGTATCTCATAATGGCACGCAATTTACTTCGAATGACTTTCAAAATTTTTTGCAAATGCTACGCAATTGAACACATAATAAAGCCGCCATACCACCCAAGATCAATTGGTCAAGCTGAACGTTTTGCTGATACGTTCAAAAGGGTTTTAAAGAAATTAAATGGATAGAAATCAGAAGAAGTAATGTTCGGAACAGTATTAAGAATTTATAGACTGACCCCTAACCCTAATACTTCATTGAGGGTATTATAAGCGGAACTAATGTTTTCTAAAAAAAAATTAAATCTGGTCTTGATAATTTACTACCTGGAATAAAAATAAAAAAGTTGGTATAGTACGAAATTAACTACAAAATCTCTCAAAGTTGGAGATAAGCTTTTTCGCTAGGATTTACAAGACTGGAAAGATATGTTGGGAAGATGGTGAAATAGTAAATCACATTGGATCGATGGTGTCTATGGTACAAAGTCGAAATTGCCGACATAAAATGAGTTTAAACCAATTAAAATCAAGCTATAGTAAGGAAATGAAAAACCAAACAAAGATATTTACTTATGGAAATTCTATAAGATATTTTTGACTAATCAATTCTAATTATAAATTCTCGAACACACCGTGTGAGTAAAAGAAAATAAATCAAAGGGAAGTGTTGGCAGGCAACCCCAAAAGAAGAAAATGCGTATTCAAAAGAGAATGCATATCTTAAAAAGGTGTTTTATAGAAAGACGACCAACCTTCTTTATACTAATTGTTGAACATAGACTCGTCCATTCACTATGAGTAGTGTCTGCTCACAGGAACAGAGCGTCGCAAAGTGGGTCGCACGGCGTAGCGTTGAGTCGTACGCATTGCCGCACTGAACTACAGTATTCGATATTCCAGTTCCCTCATGTGATTAATGCTTTACTTCACTAATCTTTTGTTCCAATGTTTCCCTTATTATCATTAACCAGAAACTACGATCTTATACAAGTATTCGAAAAGTCTCCATTAAAAAAAAATGTAGGGACATTATAAAAAATCTTATAAAATCTCATATATATATATATATATATATATATATATATATATATATATATATATATATATATATTTGGTCAAATAACATTCATTTATACATGTGTTATTGATTAGGACATCCAACAAGAAAATTATATATATATATATATATATATATATATATATATATATATATATATATATATATATATATATATATATTACATGAGGTCATACAAAAAATCTTTAGTAAAATTAACGATATAAATGGCGAAAAACTTCTTCACAAACAAATTTTTAAAGTTGCATTAACCAACGAATCACTCGATGAATGTTATGATCCTTGTTTTTGATATAAATATTTGTAATATAAATTGAACTGAACTGCACCACACACACACACACACACACACACACACACACACACACACACACATATATATATATATATATATATATATATATATATATATATAAATGGTCTCCACGTTGTGACACGGAAAGAAATGACTATACATCAGAAATCAAAGGAAATAAAATGATAATAATAATGATAATAGTTGTTTAATTATTTCAGCTCAGGACCAAAGCCTCGAAAACCAGATTCTATCATTGTCACATAATCAAGGATGGAACTAACC